CCCGAAAAGTGCACCAACGGCACCAATCCCCCCCCTCCCTGCCTCAGGCGGCTAATATGCTAGGGACACCCCTAGTTGGCAGACAGTTAAGTGAACCCATTGCTATACCCTACAAGACCAAAGCACTGGTTAACTTAAAAGTAAAGTTGTCCCCACCTTTAAGAGTGACTGTGACAGCTCTTTGACGTTCAACTGTAGAATGTTCCCAATGAGAGGAAAAGGGGTGGGCCCAGGAGGCAAGTCCTTCCATTTGCTGTTATTAATCCACATGAATAAGAACAAGAGAAAGGCAACACAGAAAGCCAAGACGAGTGTCCACCAAACTCCATTGCCCCAGAAGAGTGGAGTCACTGACACTAAAATACATAACAGACCTTCACGTTCACTGATAACATTCACCAGGACAAATAGAGAGGGTGAATCTTTCTAATGGGCACATAGACAGCAATAAAAACCTTATCCCTCTCTACTCAGTCCAAAACTAACAAAAATTATTGGCTTCAGTTGCACTTTAACTTCACTTTGATTCATCATATTCATGAATATGGGTGAAAATGTGCGTACTAAAAGTGAAAATTCACTTTGAAAGTGAATGTGCTCTACTCCTTAGCAAATTAGGACTGTTGTTTATCTTTGGCAAGCGCAGGAGTTTTTAGTTTTTTTACTACTAATATTTTTCACAATGACAGAGGGATGAGATTTCCACCACATTGTTACATTAGTGATATCTGAGCTCCACTCTTAATTACCTTTTTTTTTGGTCTTGTGGGAAGTATTTTTGTTCCTCCAAAAGGTATATTTTCTTATGCCAAATCAGTAAGGTAAGGCAATAACGTTATCAAAGTATGAGAAGGTCCATTTTGCCTAACCCTCATCCCCATTCTTCTTTGTTATAAAATGTTAAAAAGTGTATGTATAGGCAAAAAACTTTTTTTAGTCAAGGGTTAAAACTAGGGCTGTGCAAATTAACGATTAATTTCTTGATTAATCGTTAATCTTTTTGATCGATTATCATTTTTTTTATCAATTAATTTTTTTTTGAAACTTTCTGCACGAGCGCCAGCCAAGGCATTGGCCTATACACATACAGCACAGCAATGAAGTAATAAAATTAAATAAGATCAAATCCAATGTTTCAGAATAGAAAGCTACATGTTTGTATTCTGAAACAATGTTGCAGGCTTTTGATCATTCTTGGAACGATCAGAAGCCTTTACTGGCACTGATCCAGACATGCTGTCAGGATCAGGGTCCCTAAGGTTATTATTGGCTGTTCCGGAGTTTGGAGCAGCCTAATAATAACCAAAAATTTATTAAATTATCAAGCAGTCATAGTGAGATCAATTCACAATGGCTGCTTAAAATAATAAAAGTGTAAAAAAATGTAAAAAAAAACAAAAGTTTGTGTATATATATATATATATATACAGTGTATAGGCCAATGCCTTGGCTGGCGCTCGTGCAGAAAGTTTCTTGGGCAAACTCACCGACCCAAGTGGCTCCTTCGGCTAACAAAGGGGGAGGAGTCCAGTGACGTCACATGACTCCTCCCCCTTACCTTTGTTAGCCGACGGAGCCAGTTGGGACTCCCGGAAGCCGGCGGAGAGGTGAGTGTTTTCATTAGCGATCAAAATAATTTGAATCAATCAAAAAGTTTAACGATTAATCGAGACATTAATCTTTAATTTCCACAGCCCTAATATATATATATATATATATATATTCACACTGTATATATATCGTGATGCAGAGTATTTGGGCGTGTACTTGTCCAAATGCTCCGATACCGGAAGTTCCGATTAGAGGGAGATTTCCTTTGACCAGCAGTGCCGCGAGGGAACAAGGAGCCGGCTTCCCGGTCAATCGGTAAGCCAGGCAGCGTGTAATAACCCACCTTCCTGTTTTGACTGATTGCTGATTGGCTGGGAAACTGGCTTACCGACAATCAACATCAAGCCAGTCAAACAGCATGCAGCCAGCTTCCCAGGCAATGAAGAAGCCGGGCGGCTTCCTGATTGCCCGGGAAGCTGGCTCCATGCTAGCAGTAGTACCAGTACTCGGTGTCGGTGAGTACCGAAATAGAAATATCTGTACTCGTACTGAAAAACAGGTATCGGTGCATCACATATAAAAATGTAGTAATGATCATAGAGCTCCATTGATGCGTGTCTCTTATATCTGCCTAGAGTTCAGCTTTAAAATATAAATTCACAGAGAAGTAGTCAAGTCAGGTATGATGAGATGTACAATGCAACTCAACAAGAATCTCTAACTAAGTAATGATATTGCAGTCAGTAAAGGAAATGGATGATAAAGCAAATCACTGAACGTTTTCTTTATAAAAGATCTATTTTAATATTAGACCCTGATACACACTAAACTAATATATACAGCCCTGTTATATAAGAAGAGTATGTCATCCTGGAACAGTCACTCATCTTGTAGTCACACACAGCTGGTACGTTCTGGGTACTGATCCGTTCTTGTTAGGTTCTGGTGTTATTTCTAGCTCTGCGGGGGACACGGTGGATGTCAGGTTAAACCTCTGTAAAATAGAGGTGATGAAGAGAAAAATTTCCATCCGTGCCAGACCCTCTCCGATGCAACTCCTCTTTCCTGTGGATGGCAACACAAAACCAAGTCACATTCAGAAATATTCTATAACGAGAGGTTCATAGTCAAAGAGCTCAAGTGCAACTGAGGCTCATGGCTAGTTCACTCCAGCCTCTGTGCGTTCTGGCACAATTGTGTCCAGAATGCACTGGATCACATTAGTTTTGGGGTGGGAGGGGGGTGTGGCGGTGCAGTGAAGCCAATGGCACCACAGCCACGCACTCCGGCTGCAGTGTGATCGGCTGCACGGGAACGTGTGGCACATCTTTGCCTGCGTTCCACTCCGGAGCGGTCAGAAAAAAATAGTGCATGTAGTACTGAGGCTTGAGGGCGTGGCTGCTGTGCCATTGACTTCAATGCACTGCTACGCCCCAAGGCAAAGTAAGGTGTCCAGAATGCAATGCAGTGCGTTCTGGACAGAATCGGGCCGGAACACACTGAGGCTGGTGTAAACTAGCCCTCAAACTTTTTATTTTGGGTGGAGTGGGGAGAGATTAGACCCCCATAAGTTTTTTTTATTGCGGTCTGTGTCCCCGTTAGGACCAATAGAGAGGGTGAATCTCCCTGACGGTTAATCGCTAAAAGTGAAATAAAAAATAAAAAAAATCACAAATGTTGTGTTGTCACCAGAATAGGAATAGTGGGGAAATCTTCCAAAGGGGACAGAAGTTCTGACCACCAGGGATCACTTTGGAGCGATTTTCTCTCACTTCCTGTTGTGGCTAATAGACCGGAAGTAACGGAAATTTTCCCAATGGAACACAGAGTGCAACAAATGCTCACAGGGGTATAACCAGGGCCGTAACTTTATTTAGACACCCTGAGGCTATTGCCTAAAGCAGCATCTCTTTGAGTCACAAGGTCAAAGGCAGAGCAACATGTTTGTTGTATAGTGGCCGCTCTGCTACACAATGGCAGAGTGTCCCAGGTTGCTAAATGCCATGAAGGGAGATATGTAAGGGCATTTCCCCCTCAGCCGCCTCAGGTGGCAAAAAGGCTATGGCTGCCACTGGTTATGTGGCTGTGACCCTCCCTTACTCTATCCAAAACTAAAAGAAAAAAAAACAAACAAAAAAAAAACACATTTTGGCTTCAGTTCTACTTTAAGGTTTGTAATATTTGGTGATTTCAGCAGTTTCAGACCCCCCCTGAGGTCCTGGACAGAAGTAAGTGAAGTAGTATGAGCAGCAAGGGGAGGAAATTATCAGGGGAACTTCACAGTAGAGCTCCAGAACAAAGAATAACTTTGCACAGTAGGTAACTGTTTATAACGATTGTTTGTCCAAAATGAATATAAATGGAGATGACATGTTTAGCTTCAATACTAGTCATCTTCAAAACTCCACTTTTGCATTATCTCAGGACTTAGATATGTATTGAAGACAGACATTACCTAATGAGAAAGGTAGGAAGGCATCATTCTTCTTGAAGCCACCATTTTCATTCAAAAAGTGTGTGGGGTCAAACTTCTGTGGGTTCCTAAAATATTTAGGGTCTTTCAAGACAGATGTCAGCAGAGGGAACACAAGTGTGCCCTGGAAGCATAATTAAATAATACAGAACATGTAAAAATAGCCATTACAAAATTTGCTTCATGTTTTGACAGTTAAAAGTCTATGTAGAAAGCAGTGCAGCTTTTGAGCCAATCTAATGTATAGTTTAAATTGCCAAGCACAGTGTACTACTTTAAACAGATGGGGGTAGAAGTTCAATGATGGACTACAATCTTAACACAAACTAGTCGTCAATCACTGGAGCCTTTTTTTTTAAATATCCGATTAACCGGATATTCTTTACCCTTACTCCCATTCACCATCACTCCTTGTGGTTGCAAGTTTAAAGCGTCAGTCCAGACATAAATAATTTCTATTATAGGTAGAATCAGGTGATCTCGGTCACCTAGTGGCATCTTATATATTTTTAAAGAATTCAGTGTTGAGGTTTTCTTGCCAACCAATCCTCTGTGCCTCTCACTTCTCTGTACAATTATGTACAGACTTTAAATAAAAGAGCCTGAAAGCAAAACGGCTTCAACCTATATTGCTCTATCAATCCCGTGACTGCATCTTGTATATAATATTTACAGTATGTGTTTGTGTTAAAGGGTTTGTCTACAAGCTTTGGTCCTGTGCCAATAGAATAGGTTAGACATCAGTATGAGACACTTCTAAGATCATTCAGAATTTATAAACAGATGTATTCGACCTGCAGTTGGCCTTCTTCTGCATTAAGTCAGGTTCAAGCGGATTTTACATTCCAATAGACTTGGAGTGACCAAAAACCTGTCAATACAGCCCCTTAATCTGGGGTGCACAGTACAAACAAGCCCTGAACTTTCTGACCTTAGGAATATTGTATCCTCGGAATGTCACATCCTGGCTGACACCATGAGGCAGGGCTATAGGGGTTATGTCGGCCACCCGCTGAATTTCATGGACGACAGCATCTGTATATGGCATTTTGACACGATCCTCCATTGATGGGCTCCGGCTCTGGCCAATTACATGGTCAATCTCTTTGTGGACCTTTCCTTTAGAGTTTACAAAGAAAGGTTTCTTAAAACAACATATCAGGTGATTTATACAATAATATACCAAGCACTTAGGAGACACGCTATGTGTGACTATATTTAACAGAGTACCACTGCAGGCAGTGTGGATGGTGGATCTTTCAATCAACCCCTTAATCTAGACACCTGCAAGGACATAAACCCCAAACTACCATACGAGACTGAAAAGTGTAATTTTTGCTGAAGAAAAGCTGTATGTTATGTTTGAAAACCCCTGCGAGGGTAAACCTGTGTGTTTCAATAAAAGTGGGCGCAGAAGCCCTTAAAACGAGGTCATAAGCAAGACCATATGGCGCTTAAGGATGCAGTCCACTCGCTATATCTTCTGTTTAAGGGCCTGGTAAAAATTCATACATCCACCTTGATACCCTCACTGGGATTGTTCAGCATAGCATCCATGCAATACTTGCCACATAACATAAGTTTAGCCTCCTGGCTTGCACTTTAAACATTACCACTTCTAGCCCACTGGTCCTCTTTGGAAGTGCTGTCCCACACTTACACTGGTGGCCCCTCAGGCTCATGGCTTGCCTAGCCTCACCAGTTCTCTCCCAGCCTCCCTGGCCATCTTTGTGTGCCTCCAGCACATACACACACCACCTGACCCCATTTTGACTTCTGGGGGAGTCCTCCTGACCCCTGAACACAGTCTGTTCCTATTTCCCAGCAGGAGCGAATTCCCCTAGTCAGCTTCCTTTCCTTAAGGACTATGCACACTTGTGCAATTATCGGGTGCTGGTCACTGATAAACACGGGACCCAGGACTGGAAATCTTAAGGTGCCCATACACCTGCCGATTATCGTACGATAATCGCGGGGAAATCCCGCAATCGTACGATAATCGGCAGATGTATGGAAGGCGTGCAACCTTTTCTACTGTACGTTCGCACGTCTTTTGTCTTACGAGCAGGCTCGAAAACCCACCGAGAATCGTACGATTTGTGGCCTGCTCGTAAGACAAATGCCGCACGGGCCGGTGTGCACAAGCGCACACTGCCCATTCAGCATTGCAGTCATCGGAAGCAGATGATCGCAAGTACGATCTGCCTGTCCAAGATTGTCAGATCGTACGTTTTTTTTAATTACCTTACAACCATCGCAAGACAAAAGTCTTGCAATGGTTGTAAGGTGTATGGACAGCTTTATACCTCCTGAATCATTTCGAAATTTCCCAATTCCAGTATCCAAAGCAGAACCCAAACAAACCCTTGCCTCCTGATACCTCTCAGCCCCTCAGGCTGAGAGTCGTGGGTGATCATAACACCCAATTCTACAGTAGGATTGCCACACTATACCACATATTTCCCCCCTCCCCCCACTTTGTTCCCATCCAGAGGAGCGGACACACTTAGTAAGAGTCTGTTCCATCCTTAATGTGTCTGTTTTTCCTCTCTGTTTTACCAAACCAACCATCACTCTTTAAGTGGAATCCCGACCCCCACTAAACAAGATGACTCTCTCTGAGACTCTACTACACTGTCTGGGGTTCTAACTGGAACCCTTTAGAGTCTATTTACGTGTATGTTTCCACCAGCGATTATGGCTTTCCCTGCTGTTTTTCTTTATGTGCTTCCAATCACTTTTTCAATTAATTTTGACTAAGGTCAGCCCCATCAGTTAACCATGCTGGCAATTTTGTTTCAGCATTCCCTTGCTAAATTCTGGGCTACCTGCCTCAATCTTCTCTTCACTGGACCCATTAAAGTACCATTAAAAACCCTATATGTCTTTAAACAAATTTAAAATAATTTTATTATCGGAAAATTTGGTCTGTGCAGATTAGCTTAAATGACCTCTTGTCACTTTGTCACTAAAGGATTGAGTACTTTATAGAGGTATATAACATAATACTTACTTTCCACCTCTGGGTATTTCAGCAGAATAAGTAAACTGTACTTTAGAGTGGTGCTTGTAGTTTCTGTCCCAGCAAAGAAGAGATCAATAACCGTTCCAAACAAATTATCAAAGTGGAATTGAGTGTTAGGGTTGTCCTTTTCCTATGTTATTGCATAAAAAAATCACAGGTTACAAGTAAATCTTTGTTTTCAGCATTATACCCTCCTAAGCTTAGCACATGCATGGAGCAATCTATACAGAGAAGTGCATTTAACATGACAAGGGACAACTGTTCATTTAGATAACGGCTGCCATGGCAACTGCTACAAGGTGCAAATCTCCTGGGATCTTAACAATTATGAGATCCATACCAGTCCCCTTTTTTTTATCCTGAACGCAGAACATAGTCTTATGTCACATGACCGGGGCTGGATTTTCTCTCTCTTTTGCCCCAAGGCCAGGCTCCTCTATGCGCCCCCCTCCCCATCAAACCCCACCCCCCAATGGAGAATGGCAGCCAGATGGTAAGGGCAGCAGGGTTATTTTTTTTTCTTAATTTTTATTTTTTTGATAAATTGTTATTTATTTTTTAATTTAAATTAATTTTTACTGCTATCACACAGGAGCTAAGAAGCTCCTGTATGAAAGCATTTGGAGGCAACAGGTTCTCTTTGTTGAACCTGTCAATACAATACAGGAGTTCCAGCACAGCACTGTGCTGGAACTCCTGTGACTGCTGAGATGGGAAGGCTGCAAGTGCAGGTCTCCCGTCTCAGTGCTCACATGGAGCAGAGCGGAGAGTTTGTAAAGCTGGGAGGATGCATACATGGAAATTAAGGAAAATGATTGGGACGATAAGATTTCAACCACTGTGTAAAGACCTCGAATAGGTCACAGTATATAAACAATCCGTGAAAAAAATATATATAATCCGTGAAAAAAATATATTAGAGAATTGGAATAAATTGGTCAACGAAAAAATAAACGTGAAAAGTGTGTACAAAGGAAGTTATTAGTGATATATATTGATGGTGGTATATATTTCGTAGCGGTAGTCCAACAGCCCCCCTTGGGTGGGGACTCACCAAATGGAGTTGGATCAAAAGGCTTTTAGTTGGTGACACTTGAGCCTGCAATCGTGCTTTCAAACTTGGACCCAGTTGTTTTTAATCTCAGTCCCTGCAAGATGAGTGTTCGGTTTTTCTCCCTTGCAGCGCTGGCTGTATCCCACAAGTAAAGCTGGATCGTCTCAGGCGCAGTGTCAAACAAAACTCCTTGCCGTGGTCCCGCAATATTTCAAAGATAAAAAAAGGAGTTCCTCTTTAACTAAAGCTTTATTTTTTTGTTTTTTGTTTTTCCACAGCACTATTGTACTATTAATTTTATTTTTATTTTATATAATTTTTTTATGATTCCATGTAAGACACATCACTTGTTTTAGAGCTAGACCGCCTAAACCTAAAATTTCACTTTATCACTTGGTTACATTAAGTCTTTTATTAGTTACACCTTTAGCGCTTTGATATATATTTTCTCGACTGTTGATAGGATTCCTCTATCCTCTTTCTAGAGCGGCTTTAGGTCTTAATTTATTATACATTTCCACTTTAGTCTCCTTTCCAGAAGCGCGGATTATCTATTTCTTATACATGGAAATTAGCTGCTTACCTTAGCAAGACACCTAGTTGTTTGTCCCCCTCCATGCTCCAATTCTGTTGGACGTTAGTGGGTACCCTGTTTTGCTCCAGCACTGTATTATGACTGACACATTAAAAAGGGAACTAAATCCTTTTTTTGGCTTTAGTTCTCTTTTGTGTCTCAGGAGTATATTTACTAATATACTCCTTCTCCTTTAATTACGGGAAGGAAAATCCCTACTGGTTCATGGGAGCAGAGCATTTGTTCCGGATTCAGACCTGTTCAGTTATGACATACTGAAGAGCAGCTGCCACGCAGTCATGATTATTTGTTTTCAAGTTCTTCCATAAGTTTGTGACTGTTATAGAGATAGGCAACCCAGAAACAGTAAGGGGTCTATTCACTAAAATGCCATAGGCAGCCGAGTGAACAATCGACCCTAAGTGAAGTGAGCCAAACGCAGTTCGGCTATTCACTTCAGGCTTGTACGGCTGATTTCAGCCGCATATCGGCTGAAATCAGCTGTACATCGGGTGGCTTTGTGTGGCTTCGGGTCGGCCGAACATGCTCAGCATGTTCGGCCGACCCGAAGTGCAGAAGGAGTTCGACTCAGCCGAACCAGCACCTGAATCAGCTAAGCCTAACCTCCGGCAGGTTACTCGCTGCTGTTCGGTCTATTCTCATAGATGCTGAACAGCAGTGAGTAAATAGCCGAATGCCGCTGAGCAGCATTCAGGTCGGCTGTTCTGCTCAGTCCCTCTGTGGAACCGAGCAGAATAGCAAAATAGTTAAAAAAGTAGAAAAAAAATTTGAAAACGATTTTCTATTGGCTGGGCGGTTCTGCTAGGACATAGGAATACATAGCTAGATTCCTATCGTCTATGTCAATTTGCAATAGCCAATAGCAAACCAGGTATTGCAGACGTCCTCTGATGCTGTCAATCACTAGAGGGGACCTGATGGAGAACTGCAGGTCCCCTCTGCTGATTGACAGCAGCAGTGGGTGGGTGCAATAGCTAGGTTGCTATTGCAAATTGAAATAGCCAATAGGAATCTAGCTATGCATTCCTATGGTGAATTTTTTTTTTTTATTCTGACGGCAGCCAACTGAGTAAGCAGCCACTGGTAAAGTGCTGTAGGTACATTTGCAGGAGCCCCCTTTTTAAAGAAAGCATTTGCTGGTGACAAAGTAATTGTAATATTTCCTTATAAAGCTTTAGTTAAAGAGGAACTCCAGTATTTTTTTTATTATTACCCTTGCAGTGGGGCTACCCCCACACTGCAAGGGTTAAGAGCTCATTTCTGTCCAGGTGCTAAAATAACAAAGTTTTACTCACCCGAAGTTCCAAGACGGCCAGCTGTCACAGCGCTCCCTCCAGCCTGTCTCCGCTCCTCTGCAGCATTGTAATGTTCCTCCGTGTCCTCACATTTATGATGATTCATGGGAGGGTAAAAGGACTGGTCTAAGAAGAAGCCAGCTCAGAGCTTTGGGTGAATGTTTTTCTTTTTACATAGACACAAATTAGTACTTAACCCTTGCAGTGCAGTGGGGGGTAGCCCAATTGCAAAGGTTAGTAAAAAACATTTTTTTTAAATCAAGAGTTTAAAGGGGAGCAATACCTGGTAAAATTAGTGTTCCCATCTCGATCACACATGCTGATGCTTAACACAAAGAACATCCACAAAAAGCGTGAGATAAACCCAAGCTAGAGTTCTTTTTTAAGTAATGAGCAGTAACAAATTGCAAAACAATAAAAAGTAAATGGCACATATACATCACCTCCTCCATCTTGATCAAAAAGCAGTCAATGAAGTCTCGGGGACATTTAACATCAAGTGTCTTTCTGTGGCTCTCCAAGGACTCTGCGATGAACTTTCTCAGCTTGTCAAGATTTGTAAATATTGTCTGATGGGGTCCAGGAAGGATCTTCATTGTTTTTGGAAAGAGATTGAGGAGCTGTAAATAAATAACAAATAGGATGTGTGGTTTTTCCTCTTCTAACAAAAACATTTTATAAAAGAATACACGGATACTTTCAAACCAAACATCTCCAAACGTGTATTTTATCTGTATTTGCAACCCCATTTAGCACCTTGTTAACAAGTCAGATAAAGTAAATGACAATAGCAATTAAATGAGGTTGCCCAACCTTCCAAACAACATCCCCCCCAAAGATTGGAAAAGGTTGTTTGCTGCTGACATGAGGTCATTACATGACCAGGCTAAAGTCAGTTTTATACTGCAGGGTAGGCAAAGCATAATCAATATGACAGGGAGATCTCACTACTCAAGTATCCGGGAGAAAGAAGAGGTAGATTTTGCTCATTTGATATGACATGATCCACTCTGGTCATTTATGCCTTCTAATAATGGTACAGACAGGGCCGGATTTACTCTCTCTGTTGATCAAGGCCAGGTTCCTCTATACGCCCCCTTCCCCGCCAACCCTCTTCCCAATAGAAAATTGCAACCAGATGGCAGGGGCGGCAGGTTGCATTTTTATTTTTTTACATCTTTTTTTAGTTTTATTTTTAATTTTTTTACTTTTACAATTTGTATTCATTTCATCTTTTACGTTTATTACTTTTTAAAATAATTTTGTTATCTTATTTTTTTTCACTTTATCTTATTCCTCTTTACATTTGTATTTTTTTATCTTATTATTTTTTACTTTTTATCAGCTTTTTATTTTAAATATGATTGTTTACTTATTTTTTTCTTATTTTTTATTTTATCATTTATCAATCTTTATTTTTTTCTATTTTAATTTTTTTTCCAGTTAACTTTATTGGCATCACACAGGAGCTAACAGGTCCATGTGTGATAGCATTTTAGTTGGTGACAGGTTCTCTTTATTGAACCTGTTACCTCCAATACAGGAGTTCTAGCGCAGCACTGTGCTGGAACTCCTGTGACCTCTCACTATTTACACGTAGCAGAGGGGACAATGGACGTTGTCCACCATGCTCCCAGCTCTCCATCCTGAAGAGGGGATCCCTGGCTAGCGGGCAGAGAGGTAGCCAGCGGGGCTGGGTTTGGGGGAGAACGGACGAGCAGGCTGCGTTCTACATTTAGCTCTGCTTGCCCAAAGCAGAGCTAAATGTAGAAAACAACTACCAGCCCGAAAACCGGAACTTCAGGAATAGGAATCCCTGCCGCCACTCTGCTCCCTGCCGCCCCGAGGCCGGGCCTTGGTTGGCCTTTTGGGAAATCCGGCCCTGGGTACAGACTGGAGAACACGTGATTGTCTGACTACAGCAAACACTCAATGACCTTCAGTTTTTAAATCAACTTACAATGCCCCATACAGAGGACATGAGCAAAAATACTTCTTCCAGCAATTTAAGCATGGTCCGAAACTTCTTGTCTTCATAGTCAAATCGCTCTCCAAAAACAACGGAACAGATGACATTGGACACCGCCAAACGTAGGAGACTTGTGGGATCAAAAGGTTGTTCTACAAAGAGATTACAAATGCCGTTTAATCAACACACACAAAAATCCTTCAAATGACTGACCTGGTCTTCACCACAAGCAGAACTTTCTTCCAGTGGCGGAACTACCGCCGGTGCAGGCGGTGCGGGCGCCCGGGGCCTCAGGCTCTGTAGGGGCCCAGCAAGTTGCCGTCCACCGGATCGTTATCCAGCGCGCGGCAGGCCCCTGGTCTCTCCGCCGGGAGTGTCGGATCATCCGTTCATCCGACACTCCCGGCCAGTGTTGTAGCGAGGGGGGGCC